AAGAGTCCCAGGCCCTGAGTCCACATCTGGGAGACCTCTGACGACGCCTATTCTTTCAGTTCTGATGCTGCCCCTTTCCAGCTGGGTAACTTTGGGCTAATCATTTAACATCTCTGAGAGTCAATCTCCTCATCGGTAAAATGAGCAATAATACCTAGCTGACTAAACGACTGTGAGGACAACACAACGTAAGGCTTTAAAAGTACTAGCAGAAGAGGCGCTCACAGGAAACATCAAATACATCATCTGGTTCCTTCATCTAGCCAACGTTTACAGAGGTTTCAGGCGTCAAGACTGTGGGGGATTCAAGGACAAACGAGGTCCCTGTCTTCAGGGAGCTTTCCCTTCTGATGGAACTTGGGGGACCATACACAGCACACGCAACACGGCCAGAGCCTCGTCAGCCAATCACAGAGGGGCTCCTGCTGCCCCAGAGCCCATTCCTGGGACGACCTTGCACCTGGCCGGGAGCTGTGCTGCATTGCTGTTCCCTCAGCCCCTACCCCCAGGCTGGGACACCTTGAGGTACAGGGAGAGAGAGGCCCCACTTTGCCAGCCCGGTGATCCCCTGACCCCCGCCTGCACCCACCAGCCTTCCACCTGAGACCCTTGTCCTCCATGGCCACGTCCAGAATGCTTCTGTTCCAACACTAACAGTGTGCAGCCCTTTCTCCCCCACAGCATGTCAACTGCTAAAGTCCCCAGTAACCTCCTGGGAGGGGGAGGCTCCCCAGTTAAAATATGGGCTGCCTCACACAGCTTTATTGATTCAGTAAAATAAATCTCTGCAGGAGCTAATATTGACTTTGGCTATGAAAATGGAAGTGAACAACCAACTGCATATTGATTGGGGAAGGAACAGGGACCAACTTCTGGGTGGAAAAAAAAAATGCAGTTCTGGCTCAGAGGTGGCAGCACGGGGTGTCAGGAAGGAGTCAGGAGACCCAGTTCCGGCTGTCGGTGACCCACCGCGTGTCCCTGGGCAAGAGACGCAGCTCCTCTCTGGGCCTTGATCTGCTTGAGGAGAAGGAGAGGGCTGGACAGGCCAGTGGTCCCCAAACACCAGCCTGTGGCCAGCAGAAGAGCCAGCTCTTAAAAATCACACATTCCTGGAACCATCCCCCAGAGGCTCTGAGCTGATAGTTCTAGGATAGCACCCAGCCATCATGGCACCAGTACCCCAGACCAGAGACAGAAGGCTTCCCTGCTATTACTGAGAGCCACCTCTAGGAACCCCAGGCCTGCCAGCTGCCTGGGACAGAGGAGTTAATTGTGTTCCTGAAAATGAGTGAGAGTGATGCCTGGCTTGGAATAAAGGAAGTTGGAAGGCGGGACAGAGGGAATAACAGGGGGAATGACTCCAGGAAAAGGTCAGCAACACTACTGGCCCAAGTTAAGACAATTAAGCAAAGGCGTATCAGTATCTCAGAGAAGGAGGGGGTCACCATGGAAATGGGACCCCTCTGCATCAGCAGAGGGGACAGGGAAGAAGAGGAATGGCCCTCAGCTGCCTACCGTGGGCACGGCCAGCCTGGCCTCGTTGGGACTGATGTGTTCCCTTCACAGACCCTGGAGCGCGGAGACCTGAGCATCTCGTGGGGCAGGAAGCCCCCACACCTGTCACTCTCCTGTGTGTCCAGAGCACCAAGTGTTCTGGGTGAATGAAGAATGATGGGAGTTGATATGGAGAGACTGCCAGTCTAGTCCTGGCCCCGGGGAGTAAAGGCCTCCCCACACCAAGCAACACCCAGCCCCGCAGGGACGAGCAGCCTGGGCTGTGCCGGAGCTCTCAGACTGGAGGCAGCCACTGTGCTCAGGCCCCGGCTGGCAGAATCGGCTGGAGTGGTGAGGGAGACGGAAGACAGGAAGTCCCTTCTTGCCGTGCCCCTCTCAATGCAGGCCAAGTAGCAGGGAGAGGAGAAAAATTTTTCTGGTCCTTGTATTCCCTCCTGATGGTGAAGGGTGCCTCAAGGGCACAGGCAGGACTTCTGGGTGACAACGGGACTCCCCAAGTTCAGGGAAGGGGCTCGGAGTCTAAGTGTTCACATACATGCCCGTGGCCTACCCTGGCTTCCTCTGACTCGCTGTCCCTGTACAGCTCTCACCATCCCATCTCCACCACCGTAGGGTTGATGCAGGGTGATCTCATCACCTGCCCTGGCCGCACCTGACAATCCCACCTGGGAAAATAAGGCAGCAGGCAGAGATGCACCGGACTTCGGCCTTGGGTGTGCGTGAGCGCATTTTGGGGGTCTTTCAGGGGACAGGTTCCTATGATGGAGCCCCAGGCTGGGAAGAGCCTTTGAAACCATCTAGACCAGCACCCTGACTTTAGAAGAAGGGAACTCGAGGCCTGGAGAGTCTTCCAGCTCACGTAGTTTAACAGCAGCCCCTGAGTTCCGGGGTCTTCTCCCTGCCATACAGCCCCTCAGCCTTGGAGTCTGCCCTGGCTGCTGGAGCGGCCTGGGGGAATGTGCCCGGGGCCCCCTCCCCGCTCTCTAATCCAATCTGTAGCTCTAGCTTGTTAATTTTATGCTTCATCCGTCAGCAGCTGCAGGAGCCTTTCACTTAGGTGGGATGAGGCTCTGCACACACGGCCGTGCTCTCCTCCACCTTGGCCGCCTCCAGTTGACTTCTGTTGGATTTTTTTTTATTTGTACTTTTAATTATACAAGTAATGCATGGCTACAAATCCTACCGTAAAAAGATTTGAACACTAAAGAATAAACAAAATGACCCCTTTACCACCCCCTCCTCCAAGGAAGGGCTGTAACAGTTCAGTGTATCCCTTTTAGTTGATTTTGCAGCATAAATGCAGCCTGCTCTATCCTGCCTTGTGAAAAGGATGTCCTGGTTGCCAGGAATCCCCGGGTCTCAGCAGAACCTGTCTGGGGAGGGAGGGCACCTGAACAGAAGGAAGGAAGGTGTGGGCACTGGTGGCAGGGGGAAGCTGGAGGTGGGACGAGAGATGAAGAGGAAGGGGGTCCTTACCTTTCGGTCATCTTTGAAGGCATCAGCAGTGGCAGTAAAGTGTGGAATGACCTTCTTACAATGCGGGCACCCTGCGTGAGAGGGGAGGAGAGAGTTACACACATGGGGGAGGCTGCAGAGCCAGGGGCCCCGCCTGGAACCTCCAGAGAAGCCTTTCCAGGAGTTTCTCTCCACCCAACAGACTTTGCGGTTCATCTGATTCCCACCCCCTGCGCACCCCACTGTCAGGGTTCACGTATCAACCCCACCACTCAGACCCTCCACTGCGCGTCTGCTGTTGGCAAGAGGGCTCTGCAGGAGGCCTGTGCCAGCGCCAGGTCCATTCCTGCCCAGGACCTCCCACCCCACACTCTCCCATCACACACACACCCACGAGGCTGGGGGTCAGGGAGACAGACACTGTGGTCTTTCCCTGCAAGCTCCTTCCACACAGGGCTGCCCTCAGGGTCCATAAGAGCCTGATCCAGGGTGCAGTGGGAGCTTTGGGCTTAGAAAGGAGGACGCATGCTCGGGATTCTCTGAGCCTGTCACAAGGTTCCTTCTCTCGCCCCAGTGACAGTAGCGAATCTCTCCACTTCATGACTGAGAAAGTGGGGCTGGGGAAGTAGGGGGCTGGGAGCAGGCCCTCTGCCTGACCCCGGCAACTCATGCTTTGCCGCTGTTTCCCACATTCCCAGCAGCCCTCACCCCAGACTGAGCAGGCAAACCAGGCCCCTGGTCCTCATGCTGTCCTTCCTCCCTGCTCCACAATCCACCCGAACCCCAGATCCAGGAAAGGGAGACTCAAGGTCAGGCTAAGAGGAGGATAAGTTGCCAGGAGTCCCTGACGTTTCTCAGGGCCTGGGTTCCCAACCCAGGGACGACGATCCGTAGTTTTGGAGGCCCTGGATGGGACAGAGGTGTATGTGGTGCCCTGAGCCCCTCCAGCTCCAGTGACAGGTCTCAGGCCCGGGGCTGGGACCTGTGTGGGACCACTTTCTCCTCCTGTTTCAGCAAGCCCGGGGCAGCGTCCACTGAGCAGAAAGCCCAGGAAGCTGCAGGCTACTCTGTCCCAGACCCGCTTCCCTGGCCCTTCCCTCAGTGCTCACCAATTAAACCCCAAGCCCACCCCTCCCAACCACCCTCCAGACACTGAACCCAACTGCCAAGAGAACAGCACTGCTTTGAGGGAAGGAGTTCCCTGACTGTGGTGATTAATTCTGATCGAAACACAGGTGGGAGAGGCCAGATGCCCCATGGGCAGACCTGGCTCCAGCCAGCTTCCTGACAAACAGCCCTCCCATGGCCTTGGGGAAACCCAGGCAGGGAGGGAACCGAGACAGCCTGGCTCATCTGCTCTTTCCCTTTTCAAAATAAGATAATAATGACTGGCGTTTCAGAGGGCTTTGTGAATCCAAATTAAGGCTGAGCTACATGTGAATTTAGCACCTGAGCCTTTTCCTGAGATGGGCGGGACCACCCATGTGGCCTGGCTGGCAGAGTGGCCAGCTGGCCCCAGAGCAGCATGGATGGTGATGGGGAGGCAGCTTCAGGGGATTTTCCCAGCATCCATCACAGGAGTAGAGAAGACAGCTAGGCTAGTTACGTGTTATACCAGAACTGAGATAAAGTACTTCGCAGAGCCGAACTCATGGCAGGTGCTAATGGCAATTACAAGAACACTGTACTAATTTGACCCAACAGAGGGAAGAATGGCTCAAATTCATGAAAACATCATACTACAAAGGAATGATGGTATATAGCTTTCAAAACGTGTAAAGAGCACAACGTGCTGGTTGAGAGCACGTCAAAGCGTGCCCTGTGGCACCTAGAGGTCCCCTGTGAGCGGCACATGGACACCCATTAAGACATCAGGCTGGCCGGAAATAAGCTACTCCCTTCCCCCAAATCTGGTATCACTACTCATTTCTCCTTTCTAACGTTTCTGCTTACTCAAAGTATAAAGGTCACTGTCAGCCTAGTGCAAATTCCTGCTGCCATCAGTTTAAAGCATCTAGGTCTCAGATTAATGGCCTTCTGGTACATCTCATTTTCTCATTATCCAAAAGAAAGAGCATGGCAGATGAAAAACTAGAGGGGAGGCTGTTTTAGAAAGGGCATGAAGATGTTTCCCAGATGTGTCAGTTGGGCCGGAACAGGCACGATTTTTTAATTTGGGCTCTTTAAAAAGGTACCGCCTCTGTGTAACTGGAAATGAAAGCAGCCTCCCAGAGTGAGGAAAGAGGAACAAAGACCAAGGACAGGACAGAAAATTCCAATTCTAGAGACTCAAGCAAGCTGGCCTAAAAAGGGCAGTCACCACGACCAGACCATGATTCAGAGCAATGTGGGGGGCTTGGAACAGAAGAGAACAATGAAACAGCAGGAGGAAGAGCTGTGTAGAAACTGGGCAGGTAGGAAGTGGGGGGAGAGGAGAAATGGGGGTTGGTGTTTGCTTTTTTACTTTATACCTACCTTTATCTGTAGTATTTAGGTTCTTTATATAAAAGTATATGTTATATACTACATAAATTATAAATAAGGATATATTATTTTTATCATTGAAAACATTTTAAAGATTTTTTTTGTCTTTAGCTAGTTCCTCTTTCCCTGCCTCTGTCCACTGATGAACATACACGTCTCAGGAGCCTGGAGCAGAGCTCAGGACAGGAAAGTGCATCAGGGGAGATGGGAGACTCCAGGCACCAAGCCCTCTGCCAACAGGTGAGTCGCTCAGTGACGGGGCCCCGTGTGGACCATGTTTAGTTATTTTTGTCAGGGCAGTCTGTGAGGCCCTTGAAGCCGGCAGGGACCAGGCCTCCTTCCCTTGCATCCTGGGCCCCCGAAAACATCCAGCACACAGCGGTTACTTGAGGCAGGTCGTTAGCACCCCAGCAGGGTAGGCGTCCCCTGAGGTCTGGAGGGAAGTGGGGAGCATTTCTTTTTTTTTTTTTTTTTTTTTTTTTGCGGTACGCGGGCCTCTCACTGCTGTGGCCTCTCCCGTTGCGGAGCACAGGCTCCAGACGCGCAAGCTCAGCAGCCATGGCTCACAGGCCCAGCCGCTTCGCGGCATGTGGGATCCTCCCGGACCGGGGCACGAACCCGCGTCCCCTGCATCGGCAGGCAGACTCCCAACCACTGTGCCACCAGGGAAGCCCGGGGAGCATTTCTAGGGAAAGTATTTAGTCTGGACTTTCTCAAATCCACCCAGTGGCTGGTCAAGGACTCCTACTTCTCTGGCCAGGTTCCTGCCGGCTGCCAGGAAAGTAATCACCCTCTGAATCGGGACTGTGACTAAAGGAGAGCACCAGCCCAGGCTGCAGGAAGGGCTCTGTCACTGACTTGCTGCCATGGCTTGGGCAAGTCAGGCATCCCCTGAGTCTCAGTCCTGCACCCCCAACTCTGCCCAGAAGGAAGACAACTTCTTAAAATCCACTCAGTCTTCCAGGCTTACTCTAAGGACAGAGGAGGACAGGAAGAAGCTCTATAAGGAACCGACAGGGCACAAGGCCCACTTGCAGAAGAAAAGGCAAAAACAGAGGGAAGTGTCAGCTGCCTGAGGGCGGGGTCTGAGGCTGGGCCAGGAGGCGACCTGCCCAGACAGTGAGAACTGAGGAGAGACTTTACAGATTATTGACACTGGAGAGGTAGGGGCAGGAGGTTAGGACTCGACTGAGCTGCCTGCTTCTCTGTGGAGCCCAGCTTTATTATCCCCATTCTATTACACGGAGCTGTAACCTGGGGGAGAGAGAGGGCAACAGAAGAGTGAGAAAACCAAGAGCCTTTCCTTTAGGTATCAATGAACAACTTTAAAATGGGAATACACAAAATTTGAGACCACAAACACCAACATTAGCAGACGTGTCATTCCTTCCACTTAGGCTTGGATTAAAGTGGGGATCACGGTGAGGACCTCTGAGTGACTATGATGGTACTTTTACCCCAGTTTCAAATCCATGGCTTCAGAGCCACTTGGGAAGGTCAGGGAAAGGAGGCTGGGCTGGGAGTGCTCAGCAAGATGAGGGAAGCAGAGGCCTAACCGGGCTGGCTGAATTCCCAGCTGCTAAGTTGCAGGGTTCAAAGGTGAAGTCAGTGCCTGCAGGGATGGAGGGAGCAGACAGGAGGGAGGAGGCGGCCGGGTGGGAGTTTCCAGGCAGTTGAGGGGACTGAACAATTACAAGGCAGGCCCCTGGCACAGACAGAAGCAGAGGGCTTCAGGACTGATGTGCGGACAGAACCTGACAGAGCTGGACCTGGATTCTGAAGGATCTCAGCCTGGAATGAAACCTGCTCACAGCAGACAGCCCAGAGTCGGCCTGCGGCTGCCCTGGTCCCTGGGGGGATCTTCTCAGTTCAGTCAGGCCCACCCCTCTCCCTCGCCCCTCAGCGAGCGCCCCAGCTACTTACAAGGGGCGTAGAACATGACCAAGGCGTGCTTCTTCCTCTTCAGGGTGTCCCGGAAGCTGTCCCCAGCCAGATGCACCACGCTGGTCTGCTGCTCTTCCCAGGCGGGCTCTGGGGGTGGAGGGGACTCAGGACTGCAAGAACCGGGGGTGGAGGGGAGACAGTCATTAGGAGAAGCTCGTGTACAGGCAAGCGCTTCCGTCGCCCCCAACCACTTGGGGAGCACGTGAGAAAAAAAATCACTTTGCATCCTTTCTAAAACTGAATTTAAAACCTCAGTTTAAACATGAAGAACTGTGAACCATCTGCAAAGATCCCCTCTAAGGAGCCTATTAAGAAGCCATTTTGTGACGGTGTGGAAGACCCGAGTCGCTTTAAGGACCTCTCCAGTCATCTCCTTGCCATGGGGAGAAGCCCCTGCACCTGGGCTCCCTTCCCCTCCCTCCTGCCTCTTCTGGGACCCTGAAGCACCCTCCATTATCTTCTGCTCCTGAGCCTTTGTTCTGGTGGACAGAGCATGCGCCATGGAGTGAGGTGGGTCTGGGTTCAAATCCAGATTACTGATCACCTGTGTGACCTTAGGTAAGTTACCAAACCCCACTGAGCTTCCATTTTCTTTTCTGCTAAATGAGTACAGTTGAGACCTACTTCCTGGGCTCCTTGTGAAGAGCAGAGACAGTGTATATGAAGCACCTGGTCAGTCAAGCAACTAACAGTTGCTAAGAGCCTATATGCTCTCATAAATGACAGGCATTCGATAAGGGTTTATAATTTTTCAGTCTCCTGTTCACTAGTTCCCTCCACTCTGCCTCACAAAAGTATAGGTCTCCAGGGTCTTTTAAAGCCTTTGCTGCCCTTGTCCCCCTCCCTACAACCTTCTCTCTCCCTTCTCTGAGAAGTGTCTCTGGGGAACGGTCCGGACCCCATGCTGCCACATGCACCCCCTGCACTCCCTCCTTCATGCCAGCACCACCTCGCTTCTGACCACCAGGCCTCAGGCCTTGTACCCAGCGAGGGCAGCATGAGTGCAGCACCAGGCACCCCACGGCCTCTCTCACCTTTCAGAAGCCCTCCTACCAGAGACCCCTTCCCTACCTTCCCGACAGCCTTCTCTCTTCTCCTGGTTCTATCTCTGTGCCCCTGCAATTCTCATAAGATCTCATCCCTCTGTGTGGCTTCCATAATCCCCTAGGCTGAGGATGACTCGAGCCCTGGCCTCTCACCCAAGCCCCCTATTTCCAGGTGTTTTTCAGGTATTTCCACCTGGAGGTCCCACTGTCACCCCAATCCCAACAAGACTTAGAACTCTTCCCTCTCGTCCACACTTCCCAAAACAGCTTTCTTCCCCAACTTCTTCGTTTTGGTTAATGGCACCCCTGCTCTCGTGACCAAGACCGGCTCCTCCCACCCTTCCTGTCTTCCCCACTTCTTTGCCCTCCAGGTGCCCTGTCAAACACCCTGGACTCTTCGGCTGACACCAACCTTCTGCTCTGCCCTGTCCCTGCATCCTGCCTCCCTGGGCTGGCCTGCTGGTGGGCACATCTCAGTCACCCAAGCGCGGCCACTTGTGCACAAGCCTGGAAGTGCCATCAGCCTCCCCCGACACTGTCTGTTTGCCCTCCTGCTGGTGGCCTCAACCCTTCATCTCAGAGCATCTGCTGTTTATGCTCTGCCTGGAGGATTCCTTCCAAGCTCCCCCAAAGAACCACTATTTGTCCCTAGGCAAGGCCCTTCACCTCTCTGAACCTAAGTTTCTTCACCAAGGAAATAGGAATAAAAACTCTGGCCTCAGTAGGATCTGAGTATGAAATGGGGCAACAGCTATCAAAGCACGCTGCAAAGGCTGGGAAGGTTCTAGCACTTAGGGGGTGGTGCTGTCAGTTACAGTGCTGCATGAGAGCTGGCTCAGAGGCCATGGCCCACGGGCCCAGCCACTCCGCGGCACGTGGGATCTTCCCGGACCGGGGCACGAACCCGCGTCCCCACAGCTTCCTCTCTTTGAGTATTTCCACACACCATGCACTGCGCTAAAGCACAATAACCCAATTTAATTCTCTGGACAAGTCTATGGGAAAAGTATAGTCTCCACTTCACAGATGGGAAACTGGGGCTTAGCAGGGTCACGTAAATGGCTTGGGGTTACGATCTGAGTGCAGGGCTCTTAGACTCCAAAGTCCATGCTCTTGGGCTTCCCTGGTGGCGCAGTGGTTGAGAGTCCACCTGCCGATGCAGGGGACACGGGTTCGTGCCCCGGTCCGGGAAGATCCCACATGCCGCGGAGCAGCTGGGCCCGTGAGCCATGGCCGCTGAGCCTGCGCATCCGGAGCCTGTGCTCCATGGCGGGAGAGGCCACAACAGTGAGGCCCGCATACCGCAAAAAAAACAAACAAAAAAAGTCCATGCTCTTACCCTAGTGCTTTTCAGGCGCTCAGCAGTGGTGACTATGGACAGGAAGGACAGAGACCCTCCATGCTCGCTATTTGTGTCCAGGCTTCTGGAGCGGGGATTAGCAACGATAAATGCTCTGATTCCCCAGCTCTCTAACCACAGTGCAAGCACCAGGGACCTCACCTGAGGCCCCACCCTGCTCAGTCCTTCCCAGTAAACCAGCACTGGCACCAGAGCGAGGCCAGAGGCGGGTGTGAAGAGCAACCTGCCTCCTGCACCAAAGGCCCGGAGGAGAGAGCACCTCGCCCCTCTTGGAGATGAACCACTGCTCCGTTCTGGTCCCTAAGACAAGGGCTGGCTACTCTTAGAATCTACCCGCAGTGATCAGGAGGAAGCTGAGACCTGGACCTGGCCAGCCCACTCACCTCTTGCCAGGGCCTCTCCTGAACCTAGTGGCTCATCCCATTCCATAAGCTGGCATTTCTCAAAACCCCATGGCTGAGGGTTTCACTCACACCTCCTGAATCAAAGCTGCAGGGACGGCAGCCCTACCATCTGTACTTTAAGCAGCACCTCAACACCTGTAACGCTGGCGTCCACCCAGGTTCGAGGACCGACGTCCTAACAAAGTAACTCCTTCTGGATGCTGCTGTTCTGCACAGTACTCGCGTCACTTTGTGACCCTAAAGTCTTGGTTCTCACGTGGACATCATTATGCCATGTACCGGGGCCTCTGCAAAGGCTGGAGTCTGTCTTCTTTTACTTCATGTTCCCCCCAGTGCTGAAATAAGGCAGTATTCTCAAATATTCAAGTTATGTGTGTGTGTGTGTGTGTGTGTGTCTCGGGGGAGGGGTGTGGACAGGAGAAAGCACCTGTGTGGTGGCCCAGTTAGTCCCCTCACAGGAGGGGGAAATGCTAAGAACTGCGGGTTCCACGGTCCTTGGATGAGCAATTGCAAGGCTCCTCGTGTTCTCTGGACTTGCAGGCTGTTGTGGGCTGAACTGTGTTCCCCGCCCCAAATTCATATGTTGAAGTCCTAATGCCAACTACCCTAGAATGTGACTGTATTTGGAGATAGAGTCTTTAGAGAGGTAATTAAGTTAAAATTAAGTCATTAGGGTAGACCCTAACCCAACTTCACACTGGTGTCCTTTTAAGAAGAGGAGATCAGGACACAGACACTGAGGGAAGACCGTGTGAAAACACAGGGAGAAGATGGACATGGAGAGGCCTCAGAGAAAGCAACCCTCCTGACATCTTATCTTGGACTTCTGGTCTCCAGAATTGTGAAAAAAATTAACTTCTGCTGTTAAGCCACCGGTTCTGTGTTCCCTGTTGTGGCAGCCCTAGCAAACTAATACCCAGGCTGAGGGAGCTCTTCAAACCTTTATTTTCAACCCCAAACCACCACAGGCTACACTGTGGACACTACTGAAGGCCCAGACCTGGGTCCCTGTGAGTCCAGCTCTGGATGTGAAGAGCTGTGTGTTTCCTTCGTTCACTCAAAGGGAATGGAATAAAATGTAGACGATGAAACCTGGGGCCAGGACACTGGGGAAGGAGTCCTAAAAATAGAAATACACGGTTTACTGGAGCAGATGAAACTGCACCCAGAAAGGCTACCCGTGACCTGCTGGATGAGTACACGTGATCAGCACACCAGAGGTGGCGTCAGGATTGGGAAGTCATAGCTGTCTTGGCGTTCAGGCCCTGAGCCAAGGTCAGCGGCTCCCAAGGTTTACTTCATCTCCTCAAGGCCCTCTCCAGTGGCCGACAGCCAGGGACCAAGATGTGCTATCAAGACCGGCAGACTTACTTTTGCATCCACTCAATAAAGCTCTTCTTTGTTCTGAGCGCAGGCACTGCATACTTCTCTCCATTCTTAAAATACTTGAGTGTAGGAAACTCGGAGATGTGGAATCTTTCTGCCAGGGCCTTGTTGACGGTGGCATCAACAGCTGCAAGGACACCAGAGCTCTGGGACGGGGGAGAGGCCAACCATGCATGACAGCCTCAGATGCGGTGCTGGCAGAAGAGGAGCCCGGACACCAGCCGCCAACCCACCGAGGGCCTGCCGAAACCTCACAGGGCGGGAACTTCATACATCCCGGGAACAACTGGACACGGGCACGTCCATCATTCTCATTTGTGGGCTGAGATGAAGCCTTTTAATCTCCCCCACCAACCAGGCTGTGTAGACTGTGGCTGTTCCCAATCGGCAGGCTCCCACAGAAAAGAGGGAGAAACTTGGGGCTTCACCCCAGAGCCATGACCTGGCAGAGGTCACCTGGAAGGGTATGGGAATGTGACCCTAATCTCTCTGCACCCCTCCATCCCTGGTAGGGGCCCCACCTGTCTAAGACACATCTACTCGGGGACACAGAAGTTCCGCAGGCCTCCAGGGGCCAGGAGAGCTGCTACAGGGCTTGCAGGGGAAAGTCACTGTAATGATTCCTATCACTGACTCTTTAGGAGAGAGCGGTGGAGGAGTTAAGGAAAGGAAGCTTACATCTGCTTCTCCGTGGAGGACTTCTGCTGCATTCTCAAACTCTGGTTTCATTTTCTTACAGTGTCCACACCCTGCAGGAAGAAATCAAGAGAAACCATGTCCATGGCACAGAGGCTCCAGGGATGTCCCCTGCCTCCGTAAGAGAGCTGGGTCCTAGTCCCAGATACCAGGGGTACCCAGGAGAAAAGAAGAACAGCACCAGCTCAGGGAAAAGAAATCTTTTGCCTGATCCACTGGGGGTGGGGGTGTGGGAGGGGCACAAGGGGCAAAAATGAAATAATTACATCAACAATACTGGTGACATGCATACAGGTCCTGTGTGCCAGGCGTGGCTCTAAGTGCTTTATACCCTCACAACAGCCCTACGAGGTATGAACTACATTATCTCCATTTTACAGATGAGAAAACTGAGGCACTGAGAGGGTGGATGACTGCCCAAGGCTACATACACAGCCAGAGGTCACAGAGCTGGGCTGAAAACCCAAGCAATCTGGTTGGAGGCCACAGCCACCGGCAGCGTGTGCTTCCCAGCACTATGCTACTGTCACCACTATCATCTTCTCCAGGGCAGAAGGGAGTCGGGGCCTCGAACTGGGAATAAGAACTCACATAAGCAAGAGTATGGGGAAATGTCAAGTTCCAATTGTCCCAATAAGGGAAGAGGTATGATATGACAGGCACAGTGATCTGACTTGTCATTCCCAAATAAATGGTATTTTCTTGGGACAAAGGCTGCTTTGCCCTCCTCTCCTTACAACACTTGAATGCAGTAACATGTTATGAATAATGACATCTGATACATTAAAAAGGAAGCAAGCACTTTGTGTCAGTGATGACAGGACATTTGTAAATTGCTTTCATTTTAGTAGAAAGAGTACTCTCTGGCATCTACGCTGAAGGGGCTGTGAGGCGAGTAGGACCAGACTGGCTCAGGCTGGAGATGACTCTAAAGGGAAACCTGGCTGGGAGCGGGGGGTAGGGCGGCACAGACAAGGCTAAATGGATGGCGGACATGTGACTTGGCCTTCTCATGGGGTGTGCTACTGCTTGGGAGCTTAGAGCATCACAATTCTACTACTGATTATTGGGAAAAAGAAAGACAAGAAAGGAAGACACGTGGAGACCAAGCAACATGCTACTAAAAAACCAACAGGTCAATGAAGAAATCAAAGAGGCTATCAGAAAATACCTCGAGATAAATGACAACGGAAACACAACTTTCCAAAATCTATGGGATGCAGCTAAGAGGTAGGTTTATAGTGATACAGGTCTTCTTCAAGAAATAAGAAAAATCTCAAATAAACAACCTAATCTACCATCTAAAGGAGTTAGAAAAAGAAGAACAAGCAAACCCCACGATCAGCAGAATGAAGGAAATAATGAAGATCAGAGAGGAAATAAATAAAACAGAGACCAAGAAAACAATACAAAAGATCAGTGAAACTAAGAGCTGGTTTTTTGCAAAGATAAACAGAATTGATAAACGTTTAGCCAGGCTCATCAAGGAAAAAAGAGGACCCAAATAAATGAAAGAGGAGAAATAACAACTGATATCAGAGATACAAAAAATCATAAGAGAATACTACAAATCATATACCAACAAACTGGACAACCTACAAGAAATGGACAAATTTCTAGAAACATACAAACTTCCAAGACTGAATCAGGAAGATATAGCCTATCTGAACAGACTGATCACTAGTAGTGAAGTTGAATTTGTAATAGAATCATACACCATGATCAAGTGGAATTTATTCCAGGGATGCAAGGATGGTTCAGTATCCACAAATCAATCAACATGATATAACACATTAACAGAAGGAAGGATAAAAATCACATGATCATCTCAATAGATGTAGAAAAAGCATTTGACAAAATTCAACATACATTCATGACAAAGACTCTCATCAAAGTTGGTATAGAGGGAACACAGCTCAACATAACCAAGGCCATTCATGACAAACCCACAGCTAACATCGTACTCAATGGTGAAATGCTGAAAGCCTTTCTTCTATAAATTTATTTATTTATTTATTTTTGGCTGTGTTGGGTCCTCGTTGCTGTGCGCGGGCTTTCTCTAGTTGTGGTGAGCAGGGGCTACTCTTCGTTGCGGAGCACGGGCTTCTCATTGTTGTGGCTTCTCTTGTTGCGGAGCACGGGCTCTAGGCGCGCAGGCTTCGGTAGTTGTGGCACACGGGCTTAGCTGCTCCGTGGTATGTGGGATCTTCCTGGGCCAGGGCTTGAACCCGTGTCCCCTGCCTTGGCAGGTGGATTCTTCACCACTGCACCACCAGGGAAGCCCTGAAAGCCTTTCTTCTAAAATCAGGAACAAGACAAGGATGCCCACCTCTTGCCCTTTTCATTCAACATAGTATTGAAAGTCCTAGCCACAGCAATCAGACAAGAAAAAGAAATAAAAGGCATCGCATCCAAACTGGAAAGGAAACAAAATTGTCACTATTTTCAGATGACATGATACTATATATAGAAAACACTAACACCTCCACCAAAAAACTATTAGAGCTAATAAATGAATTCAGTAAAGTTGCAGGATAGAAGCTTAATATACAGAAATCTGTTGTTTTCTTTACACTAATAATGAACTCTTAGAAAAAGAAAGCAAGAAAACAACGCTGTTTAAAAACTGCATCAAAAAGGAAAGAATACCTAGGAATAAACTTAACAAAGGAGGTGAAAGACCTATATTCTGAAAACTATAAAACAATGATAAAGGAAACCGAAGATGATACAGAGAAATGGAAAGATAACCTGTGCTCATGGATTGGAAGAATTAATATTGTTAAAATGTCCATACTGGGACTTCCCTGGTGGCGCAGAAGTTAAGAATCTGCCTGCCAATGCAGGGGACACGGGTTCGAGCCCTGGTCTGGGAAGATCCCACATGCCGTGGAGCAACTAAGCCCATGCGCCACAACTACTGAGCCTACACTCTAGAGCCCGCGAGCCACAACTACTGAGCCTGCGTGCCACAACTACTGAAGTCTGTGCGCCTAGAGCCCATGCTTCAGAACAAGAGAAGCCACCGCAGTGAGAAGCCCTCCTCACCGCAATGAAGAGTAGCCCCCACGCGCCGCAACTAGAGAAAGCCTGCACGTAACAACGAAGACCCAATGCAGCCAAAGATAAATAAATAAACAAAAATTTAAAAAAAGTCCATACTACCCAAAGCAATCTACACAGATTTAATACAATCCCTATCAAAATACCCATGACATTTTTCACAGAGCTAGAATAAATAATCATAAAATTTATATGGAACCACAAAAGACCCTGAATTGCCAAACTAATCTTGAGAAAAAAGAACAAAGCAGCTGGAGGTATCACTCTCTCTGACTTCAGAGTATACTACAAAGCTACAGTAATCAAAACAGTATGGTATTGGCACAAAAACAGACACAATGGATCAATGGAACAGAATAGAGATCCCAGAAATAAACCCACACATTTATGGTCAATTAATCTATGACAAAGGAGGCAAAATATACAAAGAAGAAAAGATAATCTCTTCAAGCAGTGGTGCAAGGAAAGCTGAACAGCTAAATGTAAAAGAATGAAATTAAAATTACATTTTCTCACACCATATATGAAAATAAACTCAAAACAGATTCAAGACCTAAATGTAAAACCTGAAACTGTAAAACTCCTAGAAGCGAACACAAGCAGAACACTGACAAATTGTAGCAAAATTTGTTTGGATCTGTCTCCTAAGGCAAAAGAAACAAAAGCAAAAATAATCAAATGGGACCTAAGTAAACTTAAAAGCTTTTGTACAGTAAAGGAAACCACTGACAAAATGAAAAGACATCCTACTGAATGGGAGAAAATATTTGCAAATGATATGACTGGTAAGGGGTTAATATCCAAAATACATAAACAGTTCATACAACTGAATATCAAAAAAAAAACATCCCAAAAAACAACCCCCCCCCAAAAAAACCCTAACAAAAAAAAAAACCTGATTAAAAAATGGGCAAAAGACCTGAACAGACATTTTCCCAAAGACATCGCTAATCATCAGAGAAACGCAAATCAAAACCACAATGAGTTATCACCTGACACCTTTCAGAATGGCCCTCATCAAAGTCTACAAATAACAAATGTTGACAAGGATGTGGAGAAAAGGGAAACCTGGTACACTGTTGGTGGGAATGTAAATTGGTGCAGCCACTATGGAAAACAGTATGGAGGTGCCTCAAAAAACTAAAAATAGAATTACCATATGACCCAGAAATTCCACTCCTGGGTATGTATTTGAAAGAAACAAAAACACTAATTTCAAAGGATACATGCACCCCAATGTTCATAGAAGCATTATTTACAATTGCCAAGATACAGAAGCAGCCTAAGTGTCCATGAACAGATGAATGGATAAAGAAGATAGATACATATATACAATGGTATATTACCCCGCCATAAAAATAATTCTGCCATTTGTAACAATGTGGATGGACCTGGAGGGTATTAAGCTTAGTGAAATAAGTCAGACAGAGACAGACAAATACTCTACGTTATCACTTACATGTGGAATCTAAAAGAATAAAAGAAGCAAATGTATATAATGATACAGTAACAGACTCACAGATATAGAGCACAAACTGGTGGTTACCAGTGGGGAGAGCGAAGGGGGAAGGAGCCAGACAGGGGTATGGGATGAAGAGATACAAACTACTATGTATATAATAAATAAGCAAAAAGGATACAGCACAGGGAAATATAGCCATTGTTTTGTAATAGCTTTAAATGGAGTACAATCTATAAAAATATTGAATCACTATGTTGTATACCTGAAACTAATATAATATTGTAAATCAACTATACTTTAATTAAAAAAAAAAGAATCTGGACCAAAAAGAGAAAGAAACAAAGGAAGGCAGACAGACACACACCAGTATTATCAGAGAAGACCTCCCACACCCTCCAGGAGCCACTGGGCCATGTAAACAGCTTTCCTGCCTCCATCTGAGCACTTGGCTGGGACAAAAATTCCTCTCTCCTCCAAGGTCATTCCTGCAGAGCTCAGCTCCACATGGCACTGAGACACAAACAGGCCCGTTCCATTCCTGCCTGTTCCAATTTCCTTAGTCCATTCTCAACTTGTTCCTCCCAGAGACAGGAGGCCTCACAGTGGCTACCCTAACTGCCCCCCTCAACACACACACACACACTGATAATAGAAAACCCTGGCCAGTGTTGTCAAGCCCTCCTCTGGACAGAGTGCTCTGGGGGAGCCATGAGATGACTCGGTGGAGGAAACTCACTGATGGAATGCAGCCCAGGGAGTGGCTACAATTCTCAGCCGTACCAACATGTTGGTCTTTCTCAAATGGGCCCAAGCAAGGGGGAGGGACACCTGTGGGCTCATGGTCTGACTAGAGCCCACTTGGGGCCCCCATGAACCATACAGGTATCAAAGTCATCATGATATTAAAATGTAAGAACATTATTTTCCAGAAATGAACACTTAGTGTTATCACAACCCATTTGCACTTTCTAAACAACTGAGTTACAAAAGCATTTTTTGTTTTGTTTTGGTAAATTGTTTGTTTGGAACTGAAAATGTGATTTCCCCACAGAACCAATCTTATACCCAGATGCTATGCAGAGTCTCGAGAGTGACCACAAAAGTCCATTTAACAGGATGTACCTGAAGCATGTAGAGCACGCAGTGCTATTTCTGTTTCACTGAGCCGTGCCCCAGATGGAAAGCACACAGACCGTGGTCCAGCTCGGAACTCCCAGCGGGCCTCTCTCCCTGCAGGCAGC